CGGCCCCACTAACACCTCTTCGAGCAGCAACCTTAGTTTTTCCAGGAGGTCTCCCATCCAGGTACTGACCAGGCTCACACCTGCTTAGCTTCAGTGGGCTGCCAACTTGCAGGGTGATATGGCTGCTGGCTGGGTATCTACCACCTTACTATAGTCCCTTCTTTGTACTAAACTGGTTCCAGTATGTCAAGAATGCTGGGTTTCAAGTGCTTAATAAAACTGCTCTGGCTCCTGTCCTTCATAGCTTGTGATGGCTCCCTTTAATCTAGGGTAGATTTGAAGGTTTTCCTGTTTACATAAAGTACGAGACAAAAATAGTCTAACTCCAGGTTAGGTGTGTACTGCTTAAATACAGTCCCAATAGAGATAATATGAGATCTGCTGATTTTAGTCTTCTCATTCTACCTAGGACCAGGGTTCACGCAATGGTTGACAGAATGTTCTTTTGTACAGCTCCACATCTATGACACTCACTGCCCACTTCCATTAGATGCCCTGCAACTGCTGATGAAACTATATTTTACCCTAGTCTTTAAATTATAATTTTGTTTTACACGTGGTTTTATTTGGTCAATTTGCTCAATTCGTTTCAGTGTTATTATTTTTTTTCCCTTATATTTTTTATGAATTTACAGTTCGGGAGGTTTTTTGAAAATGACTTATAATTAAAAGGATTCTAATTATAATGACCTGGCCTCCTCTTCTAGATCACCTGACACACAGTGTTCTTGGTTTGACTGACAGCTCTCACTGTGTGCTGGCTCCTCCCCTATTCCACTCACCAACCAACAGGCTTAGGGCTGCAGGGTTTCCACAGCAACACCTCAATCACTTAACAGTTCACAGTGCCTGGGCCTTCTGAAAATTCCTCACAAATCAAAACATGGCTGAACCTTGACAAGCAAGCAGTGTAAGCAGCTGCAAAGTGCTTCCTTTTCTGTGTTTAAGCATTTTCATTATTGTCTTCTAAGGTTTTGCTGTGAACAAAAAGTATTATAATCCAAAAAAACATTAGCTTCAACCTCTTACTGGGATTTACCAACACAGTAATAAACCTGCAAAGTAACAAAAAATAACAACTAGCAAACTAGTCAATAGTGTATTTTGCCAGTAGTTTATTTCACACCATCTCGAGAAACAAAATAGCATTGAGAGATACTTTAAACACTTTAGAATTGTATGAAGACTGATGTAAAACTAGGTATAAAGACGTATAAAACTACATACAGTATGTGAACTGGAGTTTTTTAAAGGCAGCTACAGTTAACGTGCAGTTGTATTTACAAATGTGTTACTTATGCACAGTGTATGCTGTAGTAATTTAATAAATCAATATACATGGGTACATTACTATGATATTTGTTTTTTTCTGGCATCTCTTATTTGCTGACCTCCTGTTTTCCTATGTGACACAGGCATGTGCACACACTGCACTGGGAGACAGAGAAGCCCTGTCTGCACTCTGAGCACACTCATTAGCTTGATAAAGAGCTGCAGAGGAGAGGAGGGAGGGATGAAGGGAAAGTGTGAGGAGTGAGATTGGCAGGTAATGAATGGTCCATACAGAGTGGGCTATACCACCTTCAATACCAGAGAGGGGGGGGGAGAAAATTGAGCCTAAAAGTAAAAACAACATTATGACTGTATACACAAAGAAAATGAAAGGTAAAAGAAGCATCGATTAAAGTTAGATTATGTCCATGCACTTCATACAAACTTAAGCTCACTTCCACATGAATTACATTTTGTAAAGCATTTTTAAAAGAAGTTTCGGGGAAGGACACTAAGAAGTTTGTGCCGAGTTACTGCTTTATTTCCACCCCTGTTTCCCCAGGTCCTGAATCCTGATCTCATTCCCTCTTCTGCTCCTCCACTTTGAGCTCAGAGGAGAAGTGAAAAGGAAGGCTAGGGAGAGAAAGGGATAGAAGTTGATTGAGAGAGCAAGAGAGAGAGAGGAGGACAGAGTCAAAGCAGATACTTGTCTCCTTCAAGCGTGAGTGACAAGAGGTAACAACAAGCATGTTTTCTGTGCTATTCAGTGGAGGGGTGACTTGGGCTCTGGATGTGTGACCTTTTGGTGCCTGAGTGCTACAACTGACTGGCGGGTGAGAGGAAGAGAGAGAGGAGTCTAGTCACAAAAGAGCGAGGAGCTGGGGCTCAGAACTGCTGCTGCAGTCTGAGAGCAAGCCCACGAGGCCCGGCCCACAGAGCGATGCTCCTGCACACAGCTCAGCTCCAGCTGCCCTGAGGCGCTGGAGTTGCAGCACAACCGTGGAGTGCCCTGTGTTAATCCTGCACCGTGGGACTCCAGGCATTTCACCTGTTTTATTATAAAATAGCATTTCGTCGAGATGAAAGTCAGGTGTAAAATACTAGAAACTGAAACATTTAACATGCATGCTCTGCGCTCACAATTTTCAGACATCTGTTGGTTTTGAAAATGTTTTGCATTTTGCAGTTTGAGAGTGTTTACAGTAGCATCCTGGGGAAGGCAGATTGAAATTGATCACACCGGGGTATAATTTGGTCCAGCTCAGCTTGCCTGATGCCCTGGAGTATGAGCTTATGCCGGTGAGGTGGCATTATCATGTATTCTTATTTTGTTGTATTACCTTTGTCAGAGGTGACTTATTTCAAACTAAAGCACAGAATATAGGGAGAGAAGTACAAACAAGAAAGCAGTTAATGCAATGATACAATCACCAAAAAAACATACTGACTCAAAACGTATAGCCCCCAGTAATGTTTAAAAATTAAAGCAACATGGTACAAAACAGAAATATTTTTAAATAAAAAACAGAAGTAGCTAACATGCAATATATAGAGATTTTGATACAGAAATTATGTTATTTATTGGTGTTTTGTTTTTTAAAAACATGTATATTATCAGGCTGTAGGAATCTTTGTTGGGTATGAAAACTATAAGAAAATTAAAAGAAACAGACCTCATAGTTGACTGTTGGGTTCGTAACAGTTATTTGTAAGTCTGTAAGTCTGTCTTTGAGTAGCATTGTCTAACTGACTTCCTCCCCTGATTACAGACAGCAAGTGTGATCTTGGCTCAGGCTGGTATCAGCACTGTGTCCAGAGCCCAGAGATAACAGAAGCATGTGAGATGTATTCAGAAGCTGAAGTGTTTAGCACAACTCTATTATTAGAATGAGATTATCAGCCTTAACAATGTGTACTAGAATGTTCTTTAAATTAAGTAAATATTTACTGCAAGGAATGTCAAATGTGTAGCTGGGACTTTACACTGTCCTTTTCTAATAGGGTCTTTAGCTTCATCCAAAGAGGCACAGATCTGTATCCTAGATGAGACAGAAGTGCAACACACTTTATTGGCCTTTGAGTATGTGTACACCTTATGTACATGTGTGATGTGTTCATTACGTGTGTAATGAAGAGCCATCAGAATGTGTAAAAAGTGTGTGTACTGTATGTGCCAGCTTCAGTGTACACTTAGTCTTGATGTATTACTATGAACGTGTGGACAAATTCTGAAAAACTGCATATACTGTGTGTATCATGCCAAACAAATTTCATACATTTGCAGGTTTAACTAGAGTTGCCACTTAAGACATGTGATATACTGTAATTTGACCTTCTATGAATGGTTACAGAGCTGCTGGATGTGTAAATTTGCCTGCCTATAGATTTCCTCTTGAACATCACATAGCAATCCTATGGGTGGTGCAGTGGCTCTGTGGCTAAGGATCTGTCCCTGTAGCTGGAAGGTTGCCGGTTCGTATCCCATGGCCTGTAGAGGAATCCTACTCTGTTGGGCTCCTGAGCAAGGCCCTTACCACCAACTGCTCCAGGGGCACTGTGTAAATGGCTGACCCTGTGCTCTGACCCCAAGCTTCTCTCCCTGTCTGTGTGTGTCATGGAGAGCAAGTTGGGATATGTGAAAAGACAAATTCCTGATACAAGAAATTGTATATGGCCATTAAATTGATCTTATCTTTTATGTTTTAAGTTTTTATGAACAATTTCGGAATTCTCCGAATGTGTTCAGCATGATTCCAGTTATACTGTACATAAGTAGTAGGTAATTCCATTTGAGCCACACACAGTGGCTCAATGGGTCAGAGCTTATGCTGGTATCCATGCGTGAAGAGATCAGAAAGCACATGACTTCACCCCTGGATGGAACGCTGATCCATCATAGGGTCTCCCTCCAGCAATACAGGTTCCCATTTATACAGCTGGGTGGACTGGAGCAATTGGTTTAAAGTACAGTACCTCACTCAAGGCACAGCAGCGTCTGCAGCAGGGACTTTAACCTGCAACTTGTTACTTATGAGTCCAGACATTTACCTAATATGCTAGCCTTCCTGTTATACTTAAACATCCATGATTATGTATATTATATATACAGTATATGATGCTAATATATGTTTTAGGATTTGTGATACTAAAAATAAAGCCTTTTCCACACTTTTTGCACTTCTAGGCTATAGTTTGGTGCTACAATCTGAAAAATTTTCATTAGAAATCTCTCTCCAAGCAGTTTGTTTTATGTACATTACCTTCTCTCTTCTCTCTCTCTCAGAATCTTCAAAATTATTTCTCTGTCTTAAACTGTTCATTGACCTAAGAACTCATATTAAACAACTTTGAATGAGTCACAGCCTTACTAGATTTGTTGATATCACCAAGTAAAAATATATCTGCTACAAGGAACAAATTGCAAGAACCGGCATTGGGTCATATATATAGTACTGTGAAGAAGTTAAATCTCATTAGTATTTGCAAGAATTTCAAAAATGCTTAGTCTTTATTACCAAGCAAAATTGATTAAGCATTTTCATAGGGCAAACACATGAAAAGAAAACATTTTTTTGAAATAATAAAAATAAATTGATGCATGGGTTTGAACTGGAAAGAAATTTTGATATAGCAATAATCTGCTTACCATTATGATTCATTATTGAAATTAAAATTTAATATACATTTTATGGCAGAAAATGATTGCAATGCATATGTCACAGATGCCTTGAAATGTTTTTTCACTGTACATATATGCACCATACATATATATTTCTACATGCAGAAGAAACCAGAGGGGTCTGGAACAGCACACCTACAGTCCTTGCCAGTCGGTCACATCTGGAATTAAGACATCTTAACATGACAAACACCGATTCACAACTGGACCATGGCAACAGAACACGTGTATAATACTGCAGCTACACCATAGTGATGAAAAAATCTGGTACCAGTCTGCCAATGTGCTGACTGGACGGGAAAGGGGAAAAAGACAGGAAGCAAGGTGTTGTAGTGTTGGGGATACTAATGAGCTAACCAGCCTTGTGGCAGAGTGGACTGTTATTTTTCTTAAAATAATTTCATGTCCCAGTGTCTCCATACCTGATACGCTATGCTTAGTTCCTGCTGAATTAGAACCTGACATTTATAAATCTTACAGACCTGGGGGGCAGAGGGGTGGGTGATGGAGGTCACTTTTAATGAACTCAATTTGTAAAACATTGAAAAACCTGCCAAGCAAAAAAACTCATTTCACTTTGAAGTTAATAACTACATAATTGCTGAAATCCCCACCTAGAATAGTGCTCTCTTTTTCTAACCCTGCATAGTATATTTTTCCTTCAATAACCCAGACCTAACACTGATTCAGCTCCTAAGGCAGTGCGCTACATGCATCTCAGTCTGTGCCTTGCTTAATGGTACAGTGCAATACATAGGGCTGACTGCAATGCTAGGCTTCTGAATTTATGATGTGAGCATATAACAAGTGGTTTCAAATAAAATAGCAAATACTTATGTACTGTATTTTTTTTCAGACATTGAACAGCATTAACTATCTGTGCTCCAGTTTTAATAGAACTTCACAGAATTGACACAACATATGAATGCTGTGATGCTATTTTGTGCCTTAAGAATTTGTGACAGTTAGTGAAATAGAGCAGTATCCAAATTAAACAGCTATTGGGTATTGTCCTGCACTCATGCTGCAAGGGAAGCTGGGGTTTTGTGGTAAATCTGTATTGTGTATGTTGTGCAGGAAAGATGAGTGAGCTGGTCAATAGCTCTGCCGTCCCGCTGAATGACTCTTGGACGCTGCTCTCCAGATCCCCGCTGCCCACAGTGTCCCCTGTGCCTGTGCCTGACCCCCTGCCCATCATCCTGGCTGTGCTGTGTCTGTTTGTGCTCTTCGCCAGCTGTGCTGCCTTCCTGGCGCTGTGCAGGCCCTCGGCGCTGGAGAGAGCACGTAATGGGCACCGGGAAAGCATGCCTCACCACAGTGGTGACACCAGCGAGCCGCAGCTGCGCCTCTGGAAACGCCTGGGCTCCCTGCGCCAGTCCCTCTCCTCCTTCCGCCGCACGCAGCGCCCTCCGGCCCCCTGCAGGAGCGCCCACAATCCCCTGCCTTGCCTTGATGCCACAGAGATTTGAATGGCGGGGGGTTGCAGTGACAGGACTGCTGTGGTCAAGACTCGACAGACCGTGCCGATAGTCCAGGGTTCAAGATGCGGTTTATATCTTTATACTGTACCTTCAGCTTCTCTATTAGATCCCCTGTGCTTATTTCTGGTGAGCTACTGTTGTCAGCATTTCTACAAAACTGTCATTTTTTGCTCTCATTTGGAAAAATGTATTGCCTAAATTTTTAGTTTTTAGCCATTTTTAACAAAAGTGTTTCTACAGCAATTTTCTTTGTCAGAGAAAGGTGTTTTTCTTCAAAGTCAGGAAAGAGTGAGATCGGCAGACAAGGCCCTTAGAAAGCCTCCTTTGTGCTGCTGGGGAGAGGGGCATAGGCAGAGAGACTGCTGGGAATGCAAAGCTGCAGATCCGGATGGGGGAATGTGGTAGCCCAAAGCTAACACCCCAACCACTGGAACCAATCTGGTGGGTGAGACCTCACTGCTGTGGCGTGTCAGTAGTGTGCAGTTTTGTGAAATGCAAGAGGAATCTAACACTACTGCTTCTGTGTGTATGAGTGATTGTTCTTTTTTCATGAAATTTTAAACAGCTAAAACTTGAGCTCGCCAGCTCTGAGGGGTTAGTTGATGGATTCTCTGTGGGCTTTGCTTAATAGAAACTCTGGCTCTTCATACTTTTTTTAAACCAAGTTTTGTTAAACTGTTTTATTTACTGCATCACTTTTTGTTTTATAATAAAAAGAACAGGTTTTCAGAAAAGGCTCTTGAATGTTTTGCCTAGGTCTGGTTGTGTGGTGTATCTGTATCTCCAGCTGTATGCAGAGCTGAGGTTACCTGTACTATACTGGTGCCCTGGGGGATGGTCTCCAGCACACTGGTCTCGTAGCTGTTCTGCAGGAAGATGGGCCGATTGTCATTGACGTCCTGCACCACGACATTCACTGTGGCTGTGCCTGTGCGCCGCCCTCCTGCTGGCCCATTATCTGGGGGACAAGAGCAGAGGCAATCAGTGACTCCCAAACATTGGTGCTTAAAGCCACAGTCACTGCGCTCATGAACCAATCGGAATCCCCTGACAATGTAAACCATCCACTCATCCACAATCAGTTTAAGGAAACATTGCCTTTCTCTTGATTTAAAGGCCGATCGGGAACACTTAAAAAAAAAAGTTGTTTGAGCAAAACTGAGCAAAGTCATCTCAAAGTGTAAGGCTATGCCAATGTACAGATATCAATAGCACTGAGACTAGGGGCTGCAACTTCCATTTATAAATTCCTAATAACGTAATACATTCAAAAAGCACTGATATAGTGTTAATAACATTGCAGTAATAGGTTCTTAATGAATGATTCAGAAAAAGTATAGTAACAAAAGTCACAGTCTTATTTATAAATAATTTATTAACAGATAATTTAACATCAACGGCTTGCTTGTTTTACATTTGTAAAGTGCCAGTTCCCACCGCTAAACTGAAGTGATACATCTAAATGCCCATTATCTTAGCACTACAGTGAAGGTCAGGATTTGAAATAAAGACACAACCACAGTAACAATGTATAGATTTGCTGAAGTTCACCCAGGACCCTCTAATTGATGACAATCTCCTGTGGGCAGCCAAGAGTCTAAAACCTCCATGACTTTAAGAGATTGAATATAAAAACATGATGCGTGCAGCCTCTGTCAGCTGAGTAACTAAACTTTTTTTTTAAAGCAGAAAAACAGGAAACCTCAAGATTCTATTTTTTTCTTGAATATTTAAAACATAAACAGAAGTGCCTCCATTTTTTTCATTTTTCATTTCTGTATTTTGGATTTATGACCTAAATGTAAAGATGTATTTTTTGTTGGGGAAGGGGGGGGCATTTTTCCAAAACAAAAAGTAAAATGGCATTCTCATTTTTCTATGTAGCTGAATGTTTTATACACTTACATCATGACATTCAGAATATGAGAATTAATACATGTGTGTGGTTAACAGACCTGAAAACATATACTGTTTATAGGAACTGGGAAATCCAACTCTTCAGTATAGAAACCACAGAAACAGAACAGCAGTAAACAGCTATAAATTCCTGACATTAAAACAAGGAGTCTGGGCTTAGATATTTTTGACAATTTTACATCATTTTTCCCATACAATATCTGTCCAGGATGAAGTATTTCTCTTGGGTTTGAAGAGAGATAAAAATGTATTTTTAATAATAGTTCATTATAGGAATGTTTCTGTCACAATTTTTCATGTAAAATCTAGGATGCTTCTTCCAGTCTAAACAAGTCCTGATTCTGCATGAAAAGTCACTTAAAGATCCCCCCTTCTTTAAGTGCCTTAATCCATGGTTCCAGGGAGAACTTACAAGTGGAAACTGAAACAGTAGACAAAGCTTCTAAAATCACTGAGGTCTTTCATAACCTGATCGGATTGCAAAACCTTGCTAATGAAAGTGTATATATATATATTTTTAAATCCATGGTACCTTTTTTTTCATGCTTTGAAAGTATGAGGCTTTCCTTTTTTCCCTTTCAAATTATTGATCCACCCAGAAATTGAAACTTTCATCTACTTTGTCAGAGCTCCGTGATTTGTGATCTTGAATCCAAATTTTTGAAAATCATTTGGAAAATAAATCTCTGTTCCATAAACTGTGATCTCAGTATTTGTATTTTATTCATACAATGGCGTAATGCAGACAGTCAAGCAGAAGGCTAATGTGTTTACTACTGTTTCTGCTGTGAGAAGAAGATCAGTGGCTCACCAATGGCCTCTATAATGAGAGAGTAGAACGCCTGAGTCTCTCTGTCCAAGCTGACCACAGTCCGCACCACACCGTCCCTGAAGCCCACGCTGAATTTGCCATCCTGATTGCCCCCTGTGGGTAAACACAGCCTACATTATCTTCTGCACACTATTCCAGACAACACATCTGCATGATCACCAGTGCTACAAATGAAACAAGTAATCAGCACTGGAGAAGCTAAAGACTGTACTCCTTAAACAAGTCAGTGGAGTCGGTGAGGCTATTTAGTCTGTGGAGGTGGTGTGGCAATGTGAACTGTGGAGTCAGTGTCAGTGAGGCAGTACAGGCAGTGGAGTCAGTGAAGCAGTACAGTCTGCTCTTGGAAGTGGTGTGATAGAATGAACTGTGGAGTCAGTGAGGCAGTACGGGCAGTGGAGTCA